GGGCCAGCTTCAACTGCACACCCTTTCTTTATCCCTGAATCAGTCACAGAAGTGAAAGGTGATACCAAGATCGCTGCAGAAAATATCTGCAGGCTATTCTCTGCCCTGTGAGATGGCTTCTCTCACTTATTGAGTCCTGTTAAGGGCCAGCTTAGTTTGGCATTTTGTGTATAAGAATGCACTTTCAGATGCTTTTCAAGAAACCCATTAGGGAGGAAAAATCAGCCTCAACTCCAGAGATCAGCCATGTAGTAAATTGAGTTGCAGCTAAAGGGCCCTAATGAACAGGGTGCTTCACTGAAAATGAACAGGAGTTACATGATAACACCCATTCTGTTTGTATGATATGCGCAGCCACCACAGTGGGTGTTTTGCTTTGTCCTTTGCTCCATCTGCCTGTTACACCAGGAATGAACGTTGCCTCTGGCGGGGCATTTGCCCTTCTCGAGCTGTGCGGCCTCCAGCCTATTTGGAAATGAGCAGTTGTAAATAATGATTCATGCTGTCTGTTTGTCTGTGTGCCCCTGTAAGCTGAATAATAATGTCATGGCCACTCAGCTGCTACAGACTCATGTCTGAGAGAGGAGAGGGTGGTACAGCCATGAGGTACTTCAGAGACACAGCCAGGGACATGTAGCCAGGCTACCAGAGGACTGCATCAACAGCTGCCATTGCTGGCCCTTTGATGTGAACTCCAGCCTTCAGCTACTTCTGGTTCACTCATGACAGGCAGCTGAGGGGAATAAATGCCAGGCATTTCCCCTCTTCTTGATTTCTGGCACCCAGAGGATAGTGGAGAGCCAATGTGGGTTTTTTCCTTCTGGTCTGCGTCCCCATGCAGGGAGGTACCACAGGTCCCTGTGGCACCCCCATGGCTCACACTATCTTGAGCCCTGCTGTCTCAACAGGAAAACAAAAGACCTTTCATCTCCCAGGTATGCTCCTCGCACAGTTTTCTGTTATTATACATTTTGGAGATATAGTGGGATGCTCTTTCATATTAGAAGTGCTGAAGGACCTACTTTATTTCCCATCCCCCCAGGCATAAGCAGCGCAGGCAGATGGCATTTTTATGCTAATTGCACACATGCAGGTAACTGCATCTGCACTGCAGGTGCCATCCTGCTTTAGCAGCACTGTTACACCTGAAAAGCCACAACTGCTGTACACGCTGATACCCCACAGAACCACAGAGCAGGCAAACAGCAATGATGAATGTGTTGCAGTGATGTTTGAAGGAAGCAGGAAAACAAGTCAGGAAAGTTTTGCTCTGAGCTCTCTGGTTGATTCCCAGCTGCTACCATGCTGCAGCGCTTAGGTGCTTTGTGGCACTTGCTGACGCCAGATGTCCTCATTGCAAGAGGTGGCACTGGGAAAACACTGGGTGCACTGTGGGTGTTGACCCAGTGACTGACAGCTGCCAGCACCCTTGCGCCACAGTGACATATCGATGTTGGCCTCCTGCCTCTGCTTGGGGACTGGCATCCTTCCGGCAGACAGTTTGAGTCAGGTGACAAGGTCTTTGGATTTTGTTGACTTAGGTTATGTATTTTTGGCTGTGTGCTAATTGGTGACAAGAAAAGGCGGCTTCTGTTAATAACATTTTGTAGCAAAGAGCTGGCTGGAGATAAGCAAGAAGAAACATTTACCCACACTCGTTGCTACGGAAAGCTCCATCGCTGCTTCCTGTGAAACCAGGACCAAAGTCCAGGCTGAAACTTTACCTTGGCGGAACTTCATTACCTGGGGGTGCACTGCTGTGAGAAGGAAGAGCATTTGGCTCTGGAGGTTTGTCTGGCAGGATAGAAATAGCAGGAATGAGCTGGGTTGGGCAAGCTGCTAAACCTCCCCTGATCTGCTTAGCAGAGAGACCAAATACACTGTGAAGGCGCCAGGGACAAAGCTGTGTGAGGCTGCAAGGGCAAGAGGGAGCTGGTCAGCAGGATAAGACATCATGTGTAGATGATGGAAGCAGCAAGAAACAGTTCAGTTGTGGTGGTGGGGAGGAGAGATTTGCTTTGAACTGTCTCCTAATGATTTCTATGCCTTCAGGCCAAAGACTAATAGCTGAGCTTGTGCCTCTCTTCATGCCTGTGCCTTAGAACCTGCATGAGTCATTGCCTCTGCTTAATCCCAGCACATTCTGGGACCCAGCCCTTTGTACTTCCATAGATGTTTCATACCCAGCATCCCAATGCCACCTGATCTCCAGCCCAGTGGGAGCACCAGCACACGTTTCTTCAAGGAATCTCTTCAGAGGGTGTCTTTTGGAGGGGAGAAAAAACCTCACGACTTTACTCTAAAATGATATTAATCTGTTCAGGAAGGATATATTCTGCATTCCAGCTTCTGGGAGCTCTCTGGTAGGATAACATTTTTTAGAGTTCCTCTCATTGATCTGTTAAATACAGAGCACTCTGCAAACTTGTCCATAAAATCACAGCATGTAGGGGCCTTTGGCAAGAGTGCTGTGCAGCAGTGGAAGGGTTAACAGAGGAGTCAGCTGTCTCTTTAGTATGTCTCAGATGTCACATACAAATACCTAAAAGGCAGCTGGGTTGTGTGAAAGGAAATCAATGGATTAAGATTGCGGTCCCAGCTCAAAAGCTTTTTTGTGACTTCAGGAATGCCTCATACCCCATCTGTTAAATTGAAATAATACCTATCCCCCGAACACACCATGAAGATTAATTAATTAATCTTTTTTTTAAGAGGAAAAGGAAAGAGCTAGAGAAATAATAATACATAGTTGCCCGGCAGTAATGTCAGCAAGCACACAATGCCACAGCCCATGGCAGTGGCAGCTGCAGGTCACTGGTAGGAAGGGAGCAGTACCTCAGCTCTTTTCACCTGCACCATAACTGAGGGTGCTCTGTGCTCTGCAGTGGTCCTGGCTGCTCCCCTGGCAGGCTGCAGACCACAGCCAGCCAAAAATGCCTCGCCAAGGGACATACCTATGGCACTGCCAGCTCTGCCAGGAGCTGCTCTGCAGCACAGACCATGTGCACGCAGGATGCAAGGGAGAAGTGGCAGCAGCTTTGGCACCCGCATGGCAGGAGGTGGTGGAAGTGGGGTTAGGGGGAGGTGAAGAGAAAAGTGGAGGCTGGGCACTATAGAGCAACTCCTTCCTTTGATATCTCTCAAGGGGAGTGTCAGACAGACACCTAGACTGCAGTGAGAGGAGCGCTCCCAGTGTACACAGATTTGTCTCCAGACTGTTTACTCCAAGCTTGTCCGAAGGTTGAAGCCTTTGCAGCTCCTCACAGGCAATAACTTTTCCTGTACCCTTCATCTAGAACCCCTCATCAAAATTAGAGGGAACACAAACACAGAAATGCTGCTTTTCTCTCTATGAGCAGCATCCCAGTCACAAGAATCTCAGCTTCTCTTCAAGCCAAGAGTGGACTGAACACGTTCCTTCAATGTTTTTTGACAGTCTGGCTCATTTTATCAAACCCAGTCAAGATGAATGAAATACGTGTTTACCCTCGGTGGGCGAGCAGACAAAAGCTGCATGTAATTGTCCTCTGGGTGCCTGCCATTCCGTGGGGATTTGTAATCATTTTGAAAAAAGAGATTTTCCCTTGTCACTGGAGGAGACAAGCTGGCACCTCAGCACAAAACATACCACTTAAAATAGCTTTTAATGTGGCCTTGAAAACTATTTTTGGATGGCGAAAAAAGTGGTGTAAGGGAAGACTGGAGTCATGTATTGTAACTGTCACTCAAAACCAAAGGCTCTATCATTTCATGAAGATTGTCAGATGTAGCATGCACGGGGGATATGGGACACCAAGATAATCTAACTGGTCCCCAGGCTTTGCTACACATGGTGAGATTCAAGAACTCAGGAAGGGCTTCCTCCTATGAGCATTGACTCACAATGACCACCTCCACTTTTAGTTTCTTCCTTTTTCTCCAAACCGTTTGCAGGAAGAGTGACATTCCCATCCTATAATAAAGCCAACTGCGGATTTGTGTTATGATCCACAGGTTAGTTCCCCATCAAGTTGCCATGGCTTCCAGACTACTTTCAGGACGGTACATGCTGCCTGTGCGTTCCTCACCCTAGAGCAGGCATCGTCCTTGGTGCTACCAGACAACAGCTGTGTAATAAAACCAACTTTATGTTTCCATTCAGGATCCCGAATTTGTTTCTCAAGATCAAAAATGTGGAGACATAGAAAAGGGCTGATGAACAGGGTTTTTGAAGACTGGTGTCTCCATCTCATTGGAAGTCATCTGAAGCAGAACAAACGAGGAGATGTATATATAAAAATGCAGGAGAAACCCATGGAGGCTATTAGGAACAGGAAAGCAGAGCAGCCCCTTTCTCAAGGGATCAGATGCAGTCTGGGGCTGTGGGATGAGGCCTGGGCTGATGTGCCCAGAACAGCAGTAAGGAGGCCCGGAAAAGGCTGTGAAGAACACATGCACTGATTAATGCGAGCCTGGACTGAGTGGAGCTGGGCAGCACATCCCTCGACGCTGGATGCTCCTAAAGCTGGGGGTCTAGCCAGTACCCCTCACCCCAGATTCGCCTCAGTTCAGTACCACTTCCTTACTGGAAGAGCTGCGAAAACCTCACCCCAAAGAGCATCGCCGCGCCAGCGGGGGCCAGGACCAAGCGAACCCGTGACGGGAGACCCGGCTGTGCCCGAGGGAAGGGTGCCCCACGCTCTTGGGGCCGAGGTGGCCACCCCATCCCCGCCGGGCGGTCCCGCACCCACCGCGGTCCCTCAGAGGGCGGCACTGGCCCGAACCGCAGCGCCTCTGGCCCAGCCCCGCCGCAAACAGCCGGGCCGTGGGGATGAGGCGGCCGGGCCCAGGCGGCCATTTCCCGCCCCGTGCGGCTCCGCAGCGGCGGCGGGCGCGGGCGGCCAGAGCCCCACGGCGGCCCCGCCCCGCCCCGCCCAGCCCGGCGCTCCGCCCGCGCCCCGCCCGGCGCCCGCCCCGCCCCGCCCGCCGCCGCCGAAGGTTTCCGAGCGGGGGTCGCGGTGCTCGGCGGCCTTTCCGGAGATTGCCGAGGGGCTCCGGCCCCTCCCCAGCCGCCGCCGAGCCCGTGACCGAGGCGCTCCGGTGGGTGGGAGCCCGGCGCTCCCTCTGCTGCTCCGGTCGCGGCGCGGGGCTCGCCGCCCTCCCCCTCCTCCTTGTGCCGCTCCTGCTCCTCCGGCTGCGCCGGGCGCCGCGGTGACAGAGCGGGGCGATCGCGGCGGGGGGCGGCCGGGGCTCCGGCGGCGCGGATGGCGGAGGGCGGCCAGCCCCCGCAGCAGCAGCAGCAGCAGCCACAGCCGCAGCTCCTGGCCGGCGGCGGCGCGGGGTCCGCCCGCGGCGTGAAGCGAGAGCCGGAGCTGGAGCAGCCCATGCCCGGCGGGGACGGCGCCGAGGGCGGCCACAGCAAGCGGCTGCGGACGGAGGCGGAGGCCGACGGCGGCGGCATGCAGGTAGCGGGCAGGGCCGGGCCGTCCCCGGCTCTCCCTTCCCGGGGGCTCGGCCGGGCCGGGCCGCGTTTAATTTCGGTTTGCGGGGTTCGGCGCGTTGCGCTCGGGCGTGTGGCCCTTTCCCGTCGTCAGCGGGCCGAGCGGGGCTCCCCCGGGCTCCCCCCGCGTTTCCCGGGCCGAGCCGGGCGGCCCCGGGGGCACAGCCCGGCACGTGGGGCGGCGGCGCGGGGCCCGCGGGAGCCGCCGCCGGGTCCGGCGCTCCGGGCACCGCGGCGCAGCCCGGGGAGGCCGCGGTGCGGGGCCGGGCGCGGGGCACCGGCAGCGCTCCGGGGCCAGCGGGGTTCACCCGCGCCGCCCTGGGGCTCGCGCGGCACCAGGAGAAATCCCAGGTACTGCCTGGGAAGGGGGAGAAGAGGAGTAGTGGGGCGTCTTCCAGCTTGGTTCGGGATCTCACGTTCCTGTTTGTCTTCTGCCAGCGCGGTTTGATCGGCCCCAAAACATCGCTCGTTCCAGGTGCATTGGCTTTTGTGTTTGTGGGATGATGCTGGCGAGGTATTTCTACCTCCCTTTGTCTGGGTGTTGTGGAGGGTTGTTTTATTATGGCACTTGCAGTGGCCTTTTCTGCTTCTGTCTCTCGTGACGAGTATATGAGAGCTTTTTGGAAGTGGATTGATTTATTCATCTCAACTTGTTTCTCCTCTCACCTTTTCTTGGGCTGGTAAGCACTGCTGGTAGTTTCCAAGGGGAGCATCCTGTTCTCCACTGTGCTTCTCATCAAGATATACCGAATGCTGACCAATACTCTTCCCTTTTTGCTTCACAGGCTGCCCGCAGTTTTCATGCTCAAGATTTATTTATTTTTTTAAACGGCTTGCAGCAGGGGAGTTTCGTTTGTGGTTCTATCTGATGTTCAGCCTTTCATGGTGGTCTCTGCACACCACAACATCGTGTTTTTCCCAGTGTGATGGTGCGGCCTGAATGTGTGCTAGAGCTTTGCACCCAGGTGCTGTCGCTTGTGCTCCCCAAGGGCTGGCAAAAATCGTGCTGCACTCTTTTATCCCTTGGAGTAGTGTGTTCTCCCACACGTAGGTGTCAAGTATGACTCAGACAATGTGTACAGTTGCAAGGAGAAAGATGCTCAGCCTCGAAGGAGTTGAGTCTAGCTAGGAGTTATGAATGAGTGCGCAAACACGGTGACATGAAATTCTTCCAGCTCTGCAGAGTTGAACTGAGACAGAAGTCCTGTGTAACCACAGGAGATGCACCAGTTTACCTGCAGTTAGTGGTTAAACTGGTTGGTGTTCATGTAAACTAGTGGTAAATCAACTGAAAATTGCCCGGGAAGGGACTTGGACTGGTTTAGCAGAAGTCTGAATTTTTTTTTTAATTGCAAATGAGTACAATTTCTGTACAGATAAAAGACTCCCCTTTATGTTTACATGGAAGAGTGTTTTGTTGTCTATCCAATGAACAGTGCAAGTTAGTAAGGTTGCAGCGTTCAGCCACGAGGCTACGACAGTGCGTGTGTGCAGCAGTGTGTAATGCTGGTGTTAATGATACTAGGGATTAATTGTGGAATTAATTAGTGGAAAGTTGGGGTTTATTTCTGTATCAAATGGTGACATATAGTGGAGAAATTAGGTGATGAGCTATTAGCAGGGTCTGATTTTTAATTATGTCTATAGTCAGTATAGCTGTTCTTCAGATTAGGACACCCATATTGTACTTATTTGGCATTTATAGCATAATTTTAATATTTCCATATGTAGGTACAGGGAAAAGATTTTTCAATCTTTTCAATATAAAATACGAATGAACATATATATATGTGTGTGTGTGTGTGCACAAATATATACTGTTATTTGGAACCAGATGATCTTTAAGGTGCTTTTCAACCCAAACCATTCTATGATTCTATGTCCAGAAGTTTGTCTTGACTTTTTTTACTGTTAAAGCATATGACTTATATATTTGGAGAATCTTTTCATATTTGTAAGCAAGAAGTACCAAATTTGAAGCTAAACTTACAAATAATATCAGAGGTAGGAAAAAAGTGTTCTCCAATGTTTGGGAAATTCGGTGTCTTTTAACCTAGAAGTCAAAACACAAGATTGCCTTTTACAAGGATTTTGGTTCAGATGGTGTCTTCTTTTGGAGTATCTTATTTTAGAATAACGGGTTCTTTTTAGTAAATCCTCTATGTTTAGCTGTACGTAATGCTTACAAGAGGAATAAAGAGCCTATTTGATTTTTCTTTCTTCCCCCCCCCCCCATATGTACTAGAGGCTTTCTGGAAGCTGGAAATAACACCAGCAACTGTCGTACCTTGTTTTTCCTGGAGATCCTGTCAATTTTCTACTTCCTGTTCCAAGAGCCACAGGCTGTTGCTGTGTAAACTTGGTGACCTCGGGTCTCTGGGCTGATAGCAGGGAATGTGCCTACCACCATTTCTTCTTTGCATGACCTGTACCTACCAATGGTTCAGGATATGAACACGGCTTGTAATGCTGAAATAAATCATTTAGCTGTAGAAATTACTAATGTAACTCTAAAACTCATAGCTTTTTTTGGGTCCTATTAATATGAAGTATCAAAACTAACCTACAGGAAGATAAGATAGTAGCTAGTTATTAAGACCTTGGGGCAAAGGGTGTCTAAAAGCTTAAAGCAGCCCTTATATTTACTGGGCTTCTTGTTTTCTGCTGTCTCAGGCCAGCATGCTCAGACAGCTTATGCAGTTAGGGTTTCATTATCTAATCCATCTTTGATCAGGCCGGATAAATGGTGTTTGGCCAGTGCTGATCTTGTTAGGAGGGTGGTGTAAAGCTGCTTGAGTTGGGATTGGGACAAATCGGATCATGGCTGCTATCTGCTTCTGGGACATATTTCAGTTAATCATGGCGTGGGAGGAAAAGGTCCATCAGAAATTGCTGGTTTTTAGCTCCCTCTGTTTCATAAGTGGCAAAAATCAAACGCCGCCAGCCAGGAATGTCTCCTGGAAGTATTTGGATAGGTTTGTAAGCTTTGGAAGTGAAGTGCCCCAAAGGTGCTGCTGCTTTTTAACTGTATAAATACTAGCTAGTGACTAGTTTGTGCTCTTTACTGGCTTGGATGGTTGGGTTATTTGGATCAGCTTGCTGATCTGAGTAAAAATAATGCCTAACAGAGGAAAGGAAAAAAAAACTTATATACTGCACTGAAATGCAGTTGTTGATGCAGCTGTATTTGCTCCTTGTCAAAAGAGACTCACTGCTGCACAGATGGAAGAGAAAGTACCCTTGCAATAATCTCTCTCCTCCTCTGTTCCTCGCACGATGAAAGATGAGAAATGTTGTGGCTAGCTAGAAAGTGTCCCTTTCTCTTTAGAGCTGCAGTCAAGGGTCCTGTTTTTGTATTCCAGGGTGCTGTTTTTGTATTCTTCTTCCAAGTGCTAGAGGTGTATCAGACATCTTACACTGCTGAAGAAAGTTACTAAAATATCTTCCCCTTGCTTTGCTTGGTTGAATGAGTTAATCAACTCCTCCTTCAGTGCCCAAGCTGAATTCTGATTTAACTTTTTTTATGGGGTCTAGACTGATTAGTTTATACCTGGGGGTAATATATGGGTGGAATTATATACAAGGTGTGAACAGAGCTGGTCCTTGTTCCTCTTTCATGAATGACTTTTGTGCTCAGCATCCCTGAGTATTTGGGAGAGTTACTGTTCTGCAGCCATGAGCATGGCCAACTGCTCGGGGCAGACAGTGCAGCTGTGGTCTGTGCCTCACCCAGGCCACGTAAACCTTTAGTGGCAGCGATGAGTGGAGACTTTGTGTTGTCATTCAGCCATGTCTGCATAGGGTTCATAAAGATGACTGGTGGTGTTGAGATCAGTCCCCTGTGACTAAATAATGATGTAATAGACGATAAGTCTTTCCTCCGCAAGAAAGTCCACGGTTTCTCCTCCTGCTGTGAGCCAGAAGATGGTCTGTAACACCCTCTACCAGCCTGGCTCATTCCACCATAATGCCTGGAAACCTTGAACTGCAGTATGCCACAGAAAGGGGGGAGCAGGAACATGGCTTGTGCTTCATGACAGCCACCAGTGTCCTCATTCAAACTGTGGCCTGTTTGTGGTGCTCCAGAGGACGGCAAGATCAGTCTGCTGATAATTTCCTAAGACAGGTTTGAGTTTATAAGTAAGAGGGCTGATTGGGATTGTAATCAAGAAGGGACCAGTGTATAACAGCTTTTCTGCTGTGAGGGATCCTATGGAAGTCTGTATTTTTAAATCTTACAGAAGAGAACATCTAGTTCCAGTAAATGGTGGAAAAGCTGTGTAATCAGGTTAGCTTTTTCCTCCCTCTTATTATTCATGGCATGGCTGTCTTTGTAAAGAGATGCAGAGCAATGCAGGGGATACAAGATACTATAGAAAAGAAAGGAAGTTCCAACCTTTAGAAGCTGACCCCTGCCTTAGATCCAGGATGAGGTTTCCTAGGATGCTTTCCATAGGATGCTTTCCACAGACTATTGCTGATGTGTTGAGACATAATGAATCACCTCTAAGTGTGTTGTTGTTTCTCTGTTTGCTTTTGTCCTTTTTTTTTTTTTAAATATTTGTGTGTTATGAGTTAGACCTGACACAGTCTGGGAACACTTAGAAAATCTCCAGTTCAAAGAAAACCTTTGGCAAACAGACTGAAAGTTGGGATTTTAGAGTTGTTGAGAATGCTTTAATGTTGGCTCTTTCCTTGCCCTACTCAGGAAAATGGAAAGCCCAAGTGAAGTATTCTGGATGCTTTAGTACCCCTCCAGGCTCTCTCGTTATTTCTCTGTAGATTCCAGAGGTTTCTGTTTAAAGGTGATGGCTGCAGTTGTGAGGTTGGAAGCCGAACAGAGGTCTGGCTCTACTGGAGATGGTCTCCTTCTGCATATGTGTACCAGCTGTAGACATACGCTTTTTATTTTTCCTTTTCAGAATTCCCGTTTAGAAACATTAGTGCTCTGATATTTTGCAGGAA